TATATATATATATAAGATAAGTGTGAAATACAAAATTCAAGATTCATGAACATGGGATTTTGGGGTGTACCACCGTTGATTAACTTCAAACACCGAAAAACAAGAAAAAACAACAACCAGAAACGCATCAGACCATACATGCATAAATGTGTACCTCGAATTAACGAGTTCAGGCCCAGCTTGTTGATGAAGATGTTGTCCAAGTGTTCACCACCGGTAAACAGTTCGGCGACCACATACAAATTCGGTCGGACAGCTCGAGCCTTGTCCAAAACGTGTTGCGCCACGTGTAATGGTGTGCTGTGACAGTTGTCCAAACGAACTGCATGGAAAATCCGGGCGGTCAGTTCAGCATATTTCGTCATTCTTTCCCAAAGATAGGGACAGTCTTCTGGTTTTGAACCGTAACTAAACGGATGGAGGTAATGGGTTGGAATAGTTTGATACATTTTCAAAGTAATGTACCAGTGATGGATTCTTAAGAGTGAATTTTATAGTAGGCTATAGGTGATGGTCAAGTTGGAAAACACATTCAACTAAATATATTTCGGAGATACACAAAGTGGACCACAAATGGTGAATTAGGGAACAAATTTCTGCATGCACCATCCGTGGATGGTCTAACACACAGCGTTTTTGTAGTAAAAAAAACAAACACTATTCTAACAAAGCGGGGTTACTCTCAAAAACACCTACGTCTCTGAAGGTAGGCACGGTCTCGTCCACAATGCTAAATGATGCCATCATGGCATGCATCATCATCATCATCATGGTACAGCGAAATACAATGAGATGAACTTCACTGATCGCTGCCAAACTCCCAATGCATACAAGGTTAGTGGTAAAATTCAAGGTGGACAGAGGTGAGATCTACTTTGAGGGAGGGGGAAAAAGGTGAACCTCTATGGTCAACACACAGAGTGGGCAACAACAAGAATGCCACTTCTGTCGGTTCGCTGCCATATCCAATGTCCCCAACCAGCCAGTTGTGGAGTCTTTCGGACCCCAACCTAGAACGCGTGTGACACCTACTGTACCTAATGGCTCTGTGCATTTCTTCATGCCTCGTCTCCACGTCTGTTGACTTCCAAGCGGTTTCCTCAAACCAGGGGTGGCTACAGCGAATAAAGCGCGGTGCGGCAGACGACAGCTGGACATAGGCAATGCGTGCCCTATGCAGCGAAGCCTACTGATCTGAATTAATCTTCAAATGTCTGCCGAAGGAATCTTACTCACAGCCTATACATATGCACCAAAGTGAGAATGTAAAATTAATATACAAGGGGCGACAGGACGGGGGTTAGTGAGCAATGGACACCTAGTTCATTATTGGGAGTTGGAAAATAATGATTTAAATCCCCAACAAAGAGATGTACCAACAAGCTGCAGAACATCCTGGTTTCAATGATCACCGGTTCTATTAGGCGACAGTGTATTGGGCACTCCTGACATAGGAACCACACCCGACAGACTGGACCCCGGAACCCGTTAACTGGTTTTTACATGCCCCTCGACTTTTGACCTATCAAAGGCTCTGGATCTGAATTTCCAAGAAAATTCAACCACTGTTTATGACACCCAGGCAGTATGACACTAGAATAAATCATGGAATTATTTCTTGTCCTAAATATAGTTCTTTACGTTTTATTTGACCCAGTTTAGTATCAAACAAGTAGGAAAAACGGGATCTGAAATATGATGAAAACGAAGTGTTCACAAATAATTTTTAAAAAAATGGCGAAAAAGTACCTCGTAAACATACATTGTTTCATTTTTCCTAGAGTTCGATGGGTTACACTACGGCTGATACGCCTTTTAAGTGTACACTGGTGAGCTACAACCTATAAGAAGCCCGATGACGATATTCGGATAACTAATAAAACAGTTACCTCTACGAATACTATTCTCGTGCTGAACTCGGGTGGGAAATTCCCGATTGTTGTGCTGTGATCTGTTTGGCACATAGGATAGACTCAGAAGAGCAGAACCAATACAACAGCATTAAATTATTTCGACTTAGGGCGGATACATGCATTAACTAGGACTGATAAGAAACCATGTTCTCAGAACGTACCGCAATTTCACGGAATCACCCCAAACGACCAGTTCGCGACGCAGATACACGCTCGAATTGGATTCCGCGAAATTCCGTAGAGGATCATCTCCAATGACCCATCCATTAAAGGCCATTATTCGTGGAGCATCAGGGGTGTCCAACAGCTTTTCAGCATCTTGCACGGTATTGATCTCTCTTGGATGATAAAAATATCTGCAGAGAAATAAATGCAATAATCAGCATACCACATACTAAAAATAAGCAGTTTAGCATGAGCTAGTTTAACTCCAGGAACCATCAGAACCGGAAAATGCAGTTCATGTGCTGCACATTCTGCACAACTTGGATTAAGAATTTAGATTAATAGAAGGGAAAAAGAAACATTCACTAAACACCGAGAAAAGATGCGAGGAATATAAGTATTTAGTAAGAAACAGAACTAAGGGATTACATAAAGATGGAGGAACCCCTGATATCAAGCTATGTCGAACTTAATTGATATTAATAGCAATATAGTTAATAAGGATTACACTAAATGCATTGAATGGGTTCCGGTAAAATTTGAAAAAACTAAAAAGGAGACTGCTCAACACTCACAAACAGTATCTCAAAAGGCAAAGGAACTGAATGGAGAGTGTAAAAGGCTGATAATAACGAAATATCTATCGGAACTAAGTAGGGATTATATGCGACATTCCTTCTTGTCACCTGAAAAATTCAGACATCAATACTGACAAACATAACACTTGCGTGAAGGAGGCTTCGTTAGCGTTCGAAGTAGCGTAGATTTAGACCCTCTGAACAAGTGGATAATTAGACTGAAAAACTCCCCTAGAATCAATAAAGACATTTTGTTCTGAAATATTTGCATCGTATTCATCGCGTAAGCACGAAGGATTAAATTATTAGCCCAGAAGCCCTCCTTTGTCTTTCCAGCTCGACAGACCAAGGGATCACTTTCGTTTTACGTTCCTTAATCGATCAAGTTACATATTAGTTTATTTTATAAGATTTGTAACTACGCCTGAGGCGTTTTCTGATTTTGATACTGACTTACCGCCAAAATCCTCAGTATGGTTGCAGGTGGGTGTCTAGGGTTGTGGCTAGTCACCCTTCTCTCGCACCTCGCCAAATGCTCCCATACGACCAAGCGTCTCAAATTGTCTCTGCTGAGGAAACCCTACTCACTTCCTTCTCGTGGCGGAGGTGTTTTTCCACCAAAATGAGAGGACGAAAAGCCGACATCCGGGGCTATAACCGGGTTGGTGGACCACTGGCAGTTCGCCTAGGTGAGTTGGCCAAAACCCTGATTCAAAACCGACCAGAGGAGGCGAAAAATTACACACACACACAACTTCCTGTTTGTGGTAGTGATCACCTGCTCGACTGAGCATCGAGGTGTATTGGGCACCTTAGACGTGTGACTCAGTCTGAAAGGCGAATTATCCGATGAACTGGACACCGGCTTCCAACGCATTACGGGTTTCACACCACCCCGCTGCCTTGCGGGTAGGCTTTGGCTAGCCAAAGACTCTGGTTGTGGATTCCTCAAGAAAATTCACCTGCCTTGGCCTGGGCAACCTGGCAGTATTCGGCCTACAGGAAAATCGTGAAACATTTTGCTTTTTATAAAGATTGTCGTACCGCGATGTTTGGCACAAAGTCTGAACTCAGAGGAGTGTGAAATACAGTATAATATATTTGATACTGACTTACTTCCACATTATCGGTGCTTCCATCGTGACTGTGCCCAACTTCAGGCCATGGGGATCATAGAATCGGTAGTTTGCATTTGCCAGAACATTATCTACTGCTACTCGTATATGTTCATCCATCTCGCGCTTCTTATCTTCATTTAACTGTAAAAGTCTTGCTCGAAGTCGATCAGCCGCCGCGACCGCGGCAGCTTCAGAAAGTGGCATCGAATGGTCACGCACGCCCACATATTCTTTCCGTGCAACTTCGAAATCCACAGTAGCTCCGTGTCGTCGACCTTTACGTAAACCGGCCACCTTCAGAAACAAATGGTTCTCACCGGAACGGAAGGAAACCGTGTCGATCGAGGATTTACCTGACACTGAGATTGGGCACAAAACCAACGTGCCAACATCAGAAGGGATAGAAAATACTTCTTATTCGTTAAAACGTAAAAACTATTATCAACAACGGCACCATTTTTAACAAACATTAACAAAAGAAAATGAATTTGACCGAATATTATTCTGCTGAACGACTGTATTTGCGGACGGCATGGTGAGATTTGTCTCCGACTTATATCAGTCGGGATTCGTTTAACTCGCGCCATCTAACTATTCTTCAACAAAAAAAAGAATGCAAAATAACTCCGAGAAATTTAGAGCAGTGCGGTTAGTTTGGCATATTAAATTTTTTTCCAGGCGTTCCAATTTGACTGGGCCATTTGTCGATCAGAGGAAGCAAGGGGTCTGATTCCCAGCCCGAGTGCTGGTGGTTACAGTCCCCACAAGGGCACTGTTGATAAGCCTCAAGAAGGACTAAATAGCTGTTTAGTACGCTTTACCCGACCACAGAGATTTCTATGGTAAATAAACCCAAATAGATACTCATTTCAATCTTTGATAAACAACCAGTCGATCTTTTTCATGTGCTTGCAATCTTCTCCCGAACGTACCTCAGAAATCTAATCTTCCTTGACAAAAATCCCACGAATATCATACTACTTAGAAAAAAGTAACTGGTAGTAGCCTTAGTATTATTTCCTTCAAACAAGAACGGTTATCACAAACTTCCTTGTCCATGGTAGAGGTGAATACGAGCGCCATTAATTAAATATAACTTTAAATGAAAGCTTGAGAAGCTTGATTGGACATAACACAGCATGATGGTCTATAGAAAATAAACTCATTACATACCTACAATAGTGTGGATCATACAAAAATGTGATTATGATGGTTTGAGAATGAATTCTTTGAAAATTTGTCTACCTACACTCTGTTTCCGGACTAACGCTATAGGCTTGTTTTGGGACTTCAGAATAAAAAAATATATAATATTAAGAAATGCATTTTGCTCTCCGATATATATAGAGAGAGAGGGATTATATCTGTTTATATTTATTGGATGTGATTGTTTACTCTGCACGAGCACTGTGTGAAAAAATATCTGCAGTACATGTCTACTCCTCTATAGCACTTACACAGCCAGGAGACGAACTCGTCCTTCACTGTATTAACATCTGCGGTGAAAAACTCATACAACTTGGCTTTATCAATTTCTTCCATTAACCAGGAACGCATTGCAGGCATTTCGGAAGATGCGTTTTCCAATTTGGGAGGAATTCCACGATTAATCAGGGCTCCGGTGCTCACCTCGCGTGACAGACGCCACACAATTACATCAAGTATATAAGCAGGGACTAAATGTGGCGAATTGATCACGTTGTAGGCACATTCAGGATGTTCATGAACCCATGGACTATCGTTTGACGTATGATTCAAAACCAAGTCAGCCATGGACAAGATCGACCAATCGTTTTCCAGATGCTGTATATAGCGTTCTATATCTGGCCAGTCCACCGGTGGTGACCCAGGGCTGGAGAATTCAGGGTTCACTTTGAGTTGATCACGTAGTGAATAGGCTGATCGGGAATAACCCAACTCCTATTAACAAATCAGAAAAACAAGGATAGCATTATGCGAAGATTTCTATGAATAGATATTCTTATTTTAACTTAGGAACAATGATGAAACGAATTAAGAATCTAGAGATAAAAAGCGGCGGGAAGGAAAATAGTTATATATAAAGTCTATATGGTTTATCTAGAAAAAGGTCATGGGATTTTGTAAAATGAACTAAGTTCTGAATAAATTGTACGACAGAAATTCAATGGGCTATTAATTCTTCCCTTGCTAATCAATGCAGCAGGGAACACGGACATGAAAAAGAAGAAAACGTTTTTGCGGCAAGTTATTGCAGTTCACTTTTCATGCCCAATTACTGGACTTTTAAATCGTTTGTTTTGTTTGTGAACCTATAGTCACCTAATAAAAAAACGCAAGAAAGAAACAACAGACGTGATACAATACATTAGAGATTACGGTGAAGAACAATGAAAGGACTGAACCCTACTATCCAGTGTATGAGAACTAGTAATCTAAGCTCTCACTTCGAGGGGTGAGTTCAATAAAGGTCCAACTGGATGAGTGTGGTATTAAAGTTTTTTTTTAACACGCTTCAAAAAATGCATCTTCAATAATCTGACACTCTTTGTACCACTCATACATTCTACATTTGGTTGTTTATGATAATACTGACAAAGCTCCAGGTATTCATTATCATCTGTTCTACATTTATTTTGGTCGAATGCAACTTCTTAGGCTTCAGGGAAAACCTTAACCCATCACTCCTACCACGGAGATGAACAGACAAGGTGCAAGTGGTCGCTTGATTCTTTTTTGAATGTCACTAAAATACAATGCATCTAGTGCATGCACAAAGCCAAGTTCATTACTTAAATATGTCTTTGACGGTAACCAGATTCCGGAACCGTTCACTTTTAAGGAAAAATTATCTCAAGCAGACGAAGGAATCGGGGAATAATATTATACAGCTTCCTTCAAGAAAAACAGTTAATAATCCATAGATGTTCCGGCTCATTTCGAAAAATTTGGGCGTTGTGCTCATGGTAACAATAGAATCAGGTTTGTTTTAGCCACAACGTGAATACCAAAACACAAAATATCAAAATACCAATGCCGAACACACAATACCAACACACAAGATACCAAAACACATACGCCGCGATTTTCACCTTAAAGCTTGTTTTTGAGAAACCGATTAAACTGAATTGACAAAGGCCTTCCAAGAAGGTCGAAACGTTGTCACCGAAATCTTGTGTTTTGGTATTCACGTTGTGGCTAAAACAAACCTGATTCTATTCTTCCTTCAAAAACTTATAAAATTATTTCAAGTGATGAACTGCCGCTCCTAAGTGAAGTGCGGTTGTATACTTCAAAATCACTAAGTGGGTTTTCGGTTTTCTGACTTGTTTGAGCAAAATCATCATCATTCTCGCGCGCGCTCGATAAAGCTGTTTTTCATGAACACCGGTGAGCCTATCCATTGAACTGATTACTGTTTACCACGTTCATCGTTCTCTTACCATCTTGTCCTACCTGTACATACCGAGATAATACACCTCCCATTCTCAAACGTAAAGCCTTCGTCATTTTTTCTCCAATAATTCCAGAGCTTGTGCATCTATTCCGAAACCAAATGCTTAATCCAGTGAATTGAATGTCCGTCCCCATAATACGTGTTGCGAGGTACAGTTGATTCAAAATCTAAAAGCTTTTTAACCGTTTTTCGTACTGTTTTATCGCTCTCCTGACCGTAACAAGAATTTTCTATGCAACTGTTGTCCGAGTTTGTATGACGAAACCATTGATTCAAAACCAACCAAGAAGAAGCATACAAACCACGCCCATACTTTTCCGGTTGTGGCAGTGGTCACCTGCTCGACTGAGCATCGAGGTGTATTGGGCACCTTAGACGTGTGACTCAGTCTGAAAGGCGAATTATCCGATGAACTGGACACCGGCTTCCAACGCATTACGGGTTTCACACCACCCCGCTGCCTTGCGGGTAGGCTTTGGCTAGCCAAAGACTCTGGTTGTGGATTCCTCAAGAAAATTCACCTGCCTTGGCCTGAGCAACCTGGCAGTATTCGGCCTGAATGAAAACCGTGGAACGTTTTTCTTTTCGAAACATTTGGATTCCGTAATGAATTTGAACAGGCAAGTCAGAAGACAAAGAATCCGAGAGGAATTCCTTCCGTATACTCTCATCGGCCGCGTAAGTATAACATTGAATAAGATAGACAAATGAAGCGAATTGGGGAATCTAGTTGGTATTAACCGCGTGTGTATGCGCATGTGTGATTGTGTAGTGTGTGCGATGCACGTGATTGATTACAATCAGGGAAGGTCAAGTGTGTAAAATGTATCATGTTGGAGTGTCTCTGCTTAGCTGTACGCAAAACGGAATCCCAGTTTTCGAAAGGACCTAAACTCTTGAACTTTCTTTTTAAAAAGATTATTGTACCATGATTTGTTTGGCACAGTTTGGCCTCTGACGAATGTGAAACATATGATACATATATGACGATATCTTGACTCCCAGTAGTTATTTTATAGACCCGCCTTGGGTTCGATAAGGCCCTCTATAATTTCCTCAACAGCACTTAGAATGATCAAACAAGACTAAAAGTGCATTTTTCTCAGTTATTCTTCATTATTTATCTCGATCTCCAAGAGCAGTAAATTTGTTGAACATCTATGCATTTATTACCCAAGTTATTAACTTTAGTGAAAGAGAGAGAGAAAGTGCACCATTTAATAAATGTCGTTCAAAGATGAAAACCTTTTATACGTGTTTAAAAGTATGTCAACAATGTTCTGTTGTGTCGAATTACCCATCCTAACTCTTACTTGGATTAAAACAATTGACAGCAGATACAGTCTTATTTGATCCTAAGTTCAGATAAACCTAGTGAACGGAACGCATTTATGGACGTTAATTCAACTTCTTCCTTACGAGTTCTGCAATCATCACCGACGAGGTACTTGAAGGGAAAACAATCGAAGGTTCTCGAGTTATTTCAGACAAAAAATATCGTTAGCAGACTCAAGTTTAGACTTATGTAAATTGTTTCATTGTTGCCTATTTCGAAAACTTGCGCGATTCGTAAGGAGGTAAATCATTTGCAATCAGAACTATCCATGGTCGATTTGTCCTACTCTATCTCTCTTACATTTTTTCTTTAACCTACTGAAATGCGCTTGAAAAATTTTACATTATGATTTGGCGTTCGTTAAGTGTATTCGACTACCACGAATGATTTGATAGAGAATCCAGTGGACTACACAGATTACTGGAAATAAGGTATAGATTCCTTTTAAGTCTTATCCCTTATTGTCCATCACTTTATTACGGATCCTGTTGAATCGGATGGTTTTTAGACTGATTCCTCCATTCCATGAACATTTTAAACACGGGTTTTAGGGAGGAGAAATGCGTCATTTACTACTGAAATCCCCGAAAAGAACAGACAACTATTTTATCTCAGTGAAAATGAGCAGCAATTCACATTTATTGAATCCACGTGGACGGGAACCCGGGCAGGAGTTTGGCAATTTAACCCAGGAGACCCTTCGACGACAGCAAAAATCATACAAATATGCTACTTTAATCTCGTGTTACACGCTAAACTAACGGAAGGATAACACGGAACTAAAATAAGCAAAGAACAGAATGTGAGCCACATTCGGTCATGGAATTGGAATGTTGATTATTTCTTTTCCAACCTGTNTTTCCCCCCCCCCCCCCTTTTTAACAGTTTGGTATAAATTGTGGTGTATTAGCCTGTATAAGAACCACCGCAAGCGATCTTATTCACTACTTTGTGTTTTCTTACAAAGAGCGTCTTATTTATTAACCAAATTCCAGTTATGTTCAGAGATCAATACGCTGCTCGAAAGTATCACCAGTAGGATAACTCTTTTGAGTAGAACTGGGTATAGCCAAATGAACTGAGTCCGTTAGTATGCCACAAAAATCGGAATGTTGATGGAGAACCGATCAGNGAAGCGTAGTTAAGTAATAAGTTATCACAGAAAATTAGAATACCAAGTCACCAAGACAAAAAAGAAAAACGTGTACAATCTACGAATCTACAATCTACAAATTCTCAGGAAAAAGTTACCTGAACGGGTGTGAAATGTATCATGTTGTAATGTCCCTCTTTAGCTGCACGCAAAACGGAATCCCAATTTTCGAATGGGCCTAAATACTTTGATACGTATGTTTGAAGAACGACACCATCCAAGTCCCAACCTTTATCGGTGAATTCTCCCGGGATATCAGACTTTCCGGCAAAGTGAGGATCCACAGTAAGATATCCAGAGCCACAAACACTATCACCTGATGCGGTCCCGCCGGGTGGAGGTGGAAAAGTACCATCACATGAAAAGTAAAAATGAAATGACCCAGAGACAGGTAAGGGATATAGTTCGAAAAAATTATCGAAACAGTCTGCTTGTTTGTTCCCAACAGTGGGGTTGGTTACTTTCAATTCACGGTAGGCGGATCTCAGGAAACGTCCGGTGGCCGGGTCTGGATAGTTGATGAAGAAACGTATGGAACCGCCAACTAATGTGTGGTCGGGTACAAAGTGTACAGCACAATCTGAAAAAAATTATCAGGTCGAAATAACTAAACTACCTTTTTTTACACGATACAACTGACCCTCTGTATTCATTCCACGAGTGAGATAAAATTCCATTATACGACGCGCCATTTTGCAAAGTGTGAACGTGACAACTGTTATACAAAAACCGTAAGGGTCTTGTAGAAATTACGGATTGTCTCAAGTGCTTCAGTTCTTAAAATATTAATTCGAAGAGTAATTTGACTGGTGATGCCGCTTTAGTGCATAGTCCACACAACTGCGCGTTAATTCAGAATTTACTAAATAATTCAACCAACGCGCCGATTTAACAGTTGCGTATAACAAGGTCAGTCAGTCAGTCAGTCAGTTTGCACAAGACAGGAGATGGCCACGGCCGATCGAGCG